CCAGGCATTCACTTTCTGCCAGGACATTCTTGGGGTTTAAGCATGCACATAAGCAATTAGTTTTATGCCTTCCAGTAAGAAATGGAACTAAATACTCACGCTATGAAGGGATTACACATGTGTCACTGTGCACAAAATTCACCACTCTATCCCCCCTCCTGGTTTATTGAACAATTCAGTGCTTTGGGATGGAGCAGATAGCTCCAGGAGTAAATGCTGTTGAGGGCTAGGGGTGGAGGCAGTTCAGCAATGAGAGCGAGAAAAGTCATATAAATCGTTAATTATTATTTAAACATTCCACATCGATATCCATAACTTCTAAATTGACATACACATTTGTCAAAGTTGTATTCTTTACCAAAAAGTATAAATGCCCAATTTATCAACACTAATTCAACCCTCAAATAGGTCATAGAGTTTGGGGAAGTTAAATTGGCTTAGTGCCTATAGCAGAAAATGACATATAAGCTCTTCCAAAAGCTCTGAAATAAAGACAGAGGAAGCCAAATGGATATCCACTTGTCCTATTTTGACTCCTATTTTGACCGCTGTCAAAGGATACAGACTGCCAGAAAAGCAAGGGTCCCACTGCCACATGCCCCCAACATATATATAAACAGGCACCAATATAAACATATGGTTGTGATGGCAACTGAGGTGGGGAACAGTGGTAATTACAGTTGGGATGTGGATGGCCTCCTAAGTCCTTTTCAAGTCTACATGCAATAGGCTTGTTCTGCTCACCAGGAATTCCCAAGTGCCTGAGACATAGTAGGTGTAGAAAAGAAAACATTAAACAAAATAGTAATGGTACAAAATTGCCCTCCACTTCAGTGCACCCTGAGAAACGAACAAGTCTTCCTCTAGCACCGGCAGACTTGGGATCATCAAAGCCTTAAGACTAGACAGGCCCTTACTGCTCCCCAGTCTATGCTCCCCCACCTACAGAAGAGGCAAGTGACTATTGCACTAAGCGGCAGGGCCAGAGCAAGCCTCATGCCTCATAACTTTTAGGTCAGGTGCCTTCTCCACCAACTCCTCAATACTGACCACACTTATCACAGAATTTCTGGGAACACCCAAAGGGCTGTACTTTCTGACATACCTAGAATGTGTTTACATTGGAAGGTACAGAGTACAGATATGTAGGGTCTACCTGAAGTAATGAATCACTCAGCATTAATCTAGTGTCCTCTGTGGGCAAAACATTATTAGAAAAGAAACTCACAGATGAAGTAAAGAGGAAGGATAATGGAAAAGAATACACAATACACTGACAATAGGTGCCTGCCTAAAATAGCCCCAAGACTATCAACCTTCCATTGCTTCTGATTCCATTCTCATGAAGCAGCCTCTAGAAGACCAGTGTGATCTCCAGTTACCTGGATGTCTGCAAAGGGATGTCCTGGTTAGGATATACAAGTATTTTTGCCTCTCAAAGAGTCCATCCCAATTACCCTATATAATACAAGCCCAGTGACCTAACGGCTGAAAGACCAGAACGACCAGAATGACTGCTTGACCAGTCGCTATGACACACACTGACCACCAGGGGGCATATGATCAACAGAGGAGCTGCCCCCTGGTGATCAGTGTGTGCCCACAGTGGGAGCGCCGCTTGGCTGACCGGGATGAGCGGTGCTCCCACAGTGGGCCGATCCCCGCAGGCCATGCCCCCCACCAGTGCATGAATCCCGTGCACCGGGCCTCTGGTAAATTAATAAGTGGGCATTCTCATTTAACCACGTCTCTTGTGAGACTGTAAGTGAGCATCAGCCCACAGGAAGATAATCTGTAGTCACGGATAAAGTCAGATGTTCGTACTAAAGAATGGAGTTCATCAGAACCAGAACCAGGCCCTGGAACAGAGGGCTGGAGCCAAAGCCACACTCTGGCTTGCCAGACATTTCCCTCAACATCGCTAGCTCAGCTTTCTCAAAGAGCGACAGAAATGGGCCGGGGACATTTCAAAGAATGTCTTAGTGGAGTGAAGGGAGAGAGCAGAAGCTGGGTCACAGCTATTTTTGCCCGGTGTAAGGGCAAAAATAAAGTCAAGCTGGTTTTCTGCAACTTCTCTATCACACTGCATACACCTTCAAAGACAGCAGAAGAAGGAATAAAGTGTCCTGAAGCTATTCCCACACCCTGTATAATTAGCTGTATTTTTCACAAGAGCAAGAGACCCAGATTTTTTTTTCATTGCCTCTGTGTACCGGGCACCAAGTACTGGACTGGTGGTTTCGTGATGTGTGCTCAATAAATATTTGAATGGATGGATGTGTGAATGAATGAGTGAATGAGGTTCCATAATTCTTCTAACCTGTTCCACAATTCTTCTAATCTGTTCTCAAGCACAAGTGACTCTTCCAGGGACTAACACAGACTTTTATAGTTTATTGGGGTGACAGATACTTTTCCATTTCCATAACTTCATATTTAGATTCAAGTTGTTTAGACCTGTCTCTCCAGGGATTGAAGAGGCTGATCAGGACAGCCTTGAGACCTCCTCTTCTTTGCTCCAAGGGTAATGACCTTGTGCAGTCATGCAATCACTGCTCTCCAAAGGAGGCCACATTATGACCGTTCATGGAGCATAACCAGGAGGATCAAGTATTGTCATGCAGAAATCCGAGGTTAGAGGCCTGACTGTGGCTCTAGGGAGACAGCTGAGTGTCAAGGGCTTGGGCATGTATGTACATGTGTGTGTGTAGTAGGGGGGGGGGGAGTGAGGGGCACTGAGCCTTCTGAGGCAGGACTCCCTTTTATCCAGACAAGCAAGCTCCGCACCACAGCATTGCTTAACATCACTGGGCAAGTGAGGCTAAATCTTAGAGATGGTACTTAAAAGCTTCCTCTTTAAAAACAAGAATAAAAACCATTATACAGCCCTGACTGGTTTGGCTCAGTGGATGGAGTGTCAGCCTGGGGACTGAACGGTCCCAGGTTTGATTCCAGTCAAGGGCATGTACCTTGGTTGCGGGCACATCGCCAGTGGGAACTGTGCAGGAGGCAGCTGATCGATGTTTCTCTCTCATCGATGTTTCTTACTCTCTAACCTTCTCCCTTCTTCTCTGTAAAAAATCAATAAAATATGTTTTTTTTAAAAAACCATTATACACTTAAAGGTATGGATAGACTGGGGCTGGAGTGAGAAAAGACCATAACATATACATTGGATGGGTTAACAATGAATTTAGACTGTATATTTCAAGAGAGTTCATGAAGATAACTGTTTGATTAAGAAAAATAAAGAATAATGCCATACACATACATACATTTACATAGTTACACATGCATGTGTCTATAAGAGGGGTGGGGAAACTTTTTTTCTGCCAAGGGCCATTTGGATATTTATAACATCATTCTCGGGCCACACAAAATTATCAACTTAAAAATTAGCCTGCTTTCAACAATAAAGATTTTTTTAAAAATTAGCCTGCTATATTTGGTCAAACATTTAATTAACTCACTCCTAAAGCCTCGGCAGGGCCAGACCAAATGATTTTTCGGGCTTTATACGGCCCACAGGCCAGCCGTTCCCCACCCCTGTTTGTAACATGCCTGATGGCTTTCAAAGCCCACTGGCTAATGGACCTGGTGCTCCCAGTAATCCTGAGAAAGAGAGAGAGGGGGTAGTCTTCCCACTTTAAGAAGAGAAAACTAAGGTCTAAAGTGATTTGCTGAAGGCCAGATGGCTAGTTAAATATGACAAGATGATGACTAGGTCTCTTGATTCACAGACCAGTGTGTTTGTTTAGTTAATCTATCCTCAATGTGTGTTGAGGCTTGGGAGGCAAAATTACCATCAGCTCCATTTCAAAAGGGCAACTAAAAAGAAAGAAAAAAATAAGGCAATGTGTTCAATTATTTTACTGAGCTCTCCAGATTCTTTACCTATTGAATATTTCATGAACAAGGAGCCCCCCTTCAATTGCTTCATTCCTGCCCCAAACTCCTAAGACAAAAATAATTTAATTTTGAACCTTTTGTAGTGTGAGGTGATTAGAAAATATCATCTTCAACAAACTTTAATTATCTGCTCAGGGTCAAACATTTGGAACCTTATTTTCATTAAACTGGCACTATCATCAACTCTGCTTTTTATTTTTTAATACAGCTCTTTTTATATTTATCCCTGCCCTATACTCAGCTCAGAAGCAGAACCTTCCAACTCCTCCCTTGGTTCAGATGAAGGAGAATAAGGAGTTCTGATATAGTTGCTGTTCCGCATGTATTAGTCTGAAAAGCAATGCCGCCTAGTCTCTGGTTGGATTGTTAGGAAGGTATGGAACTTTGATGAAAACTGAGAATGCCATGAGGCCACAGCAATGCCAATGCGGCCTGCAGACTGGGTCCGTGCTGGACCGCAAAGAGACCCGGAAAATGAAAGGACGTGTTCAGGAACTCTTACAGCAATTTCACAGAGAAGTTTGATGTCTGCTGAATATATTAAAAAACGAGGTAGTATTTCAAATGCTTTTTATTTCACTTTTCTCAGCATTTATTTTTAGTGTATTTTGCACAAGTATTGACCCGCAACAAATTGGAAAAGGAATAAAAGGACTGCTCCATTGCCACAGATAGTTGAGAAGCACTGTGCTAGGCAACTCCACCAAGCCTCTGAGTCAGATGTTATTGGGAGGGATATAAAGATTTCCTAGAAAATCAAAGATACCTACATCTCAATGAGAGAACAAAAGGTAAATATAAAGACATATCTGTTTGTGCAGCCACTAAAGACAGGGAAAGCAGTATGGAGTTTCCTCAAAAAATTAAAAATGGATCTGTCTTATGGCCCAGCGATTCCACTTCTGGGGATTTATACGAAGAAACCCAAAACGCTAATTTGAAAGAGTATATGTACCCCATTGCAGCATTATTTACAATAGGCAAGACATGAAAGCAACCCAAGTGCCCATCAATAGACAAGTGGATAAAAAAAGCTGTGGTACATATATACAATGGAAAATTACCTGAACATTAAAATGATGAAATCTTACCATTTGTTACAGCATGGATGCACCAAGAGGGTAGTATGCTAAGTGAAATAAGTTAGTCAGAGAAAGACAAATACAATATAGTTTCACTTATATGTGGAATCTAACAAACAAAATAAATGAACAACAAAATTGAAACAGACTCATAGACACAGAGAGAGAACTGATGGTTGCCAGAGGGGAAGGGAATTGGGGGGCTGGGTGAAAAGAAGTGAGGGGACTGAGAAGCACAAGTTGATAGTTACAAAATAGCCACGGGGAAGTAAGTAAAGCATAGGAATTATAATCAATAATATTGCAATAGCTATTCATGGTGCCAGTTGTGTCCTGGAAATATCAAGGGGAACACTATGAAACATACATGGTAGTCTAACTACTAAACTGTACACCTGAAACCCATACAAGATAAAATTGCTAAAAACAATAATTAAAAATATATAAATAGATGGTGGGGGAAAAAGTAGGTTTAAAGCTCTGAGTATGTGAAACTATTCTTGTATTATTATTTATTAATGATCGTGTTATTTTCCATATGAACAACTATACACCTCCTTTTGCCCCTCCCTGTATATCTCTGTAGTAACCACGTACATTTTCAAGCATCCATTGTGTTGGGGTCCTCCGGCTAACGTTTGCACACCTGGGTAATGAGAAGCAAACATGCAGAAATGGGTGAAGTCAAATGTCAATCATGTGTCAGGTACGATATAAGGCGAACCCAAGATTCCTGATTGACAACAGGGCAGTTTACACTCGAACTCTATCAGTAATGCTGCCGACTGAAACCAGCCACGCGGAGAAAGGAATGGCTGGGCCTGCCCTCCCTCTGCTTTCTGGGAGGTGGGGTGGTAGGAGCAGGTGGTTTCAGTTCAGCTCCTCATTTGTAAACTGGCTCTGCGAACACAGACACGCAAAGCCACTTGTTCGGCGGTCTCAGAAGACGGGCTAAGGACTGACCGGACATGAGACACAATTACCCTCTCACCCTAGAAGGAGGTCCCTGCAGGTTAGGGGTGATGGATATCAGTAGGTCAGGATGAAAACAGCCAGCGGCAGCTGCTGCCTATGTGGGGAGGACGGGAGGGAGCAAGAGAAGGTTTTCATTTTCGGATCACTTCTTTCACCAGTACTGAAATTAACTTAAGAAAAGTAGTGATCAGGTTACCACTAATATATTTTCTTTAATCCCTCATGTTCTTTTAGATTGTTAAATTTCTGTCATTTTGGAGGAAGCATTTTAAGTTATCATCTTTTGAAAGTTGTACTTAAAAGAACAAAATAAAATATGATGGAAAATTCCTTTTTGTTGGGGTGGGGGGGATAGTAGACCTAATGACATTGAGTTTGATTACCTTGATATTTTGTAGGCATGTAATTTCATGGGCAGACAATGGATGTGTTATCAACACTCCCAACAGTCTATATTTCCTGTTCTCCTGGGTTTCTTCGGCATTTGTGACAATGCAGACTCCCTCTAGTGGCCAAAATAATATATGTAAATCCACAGGTTTGTTAAAAAAGGTTATGTTTGTGATCCATCTATTTTTAAAAAGAAAATATTTTTTTGATATGTTTTCCTTTTGGGAGTACTTCAAACAAGGTAATTATATATACATCAAAAATATGCAAATTCTTTCAGTGTGTATAGTAAATGTTATATTTAGTAATAATTCTTGTAATTGATTAGACACTACTACATCATCCTGAATGTGTAATAGTAAACGTTCAGAACAAAGAATTGTTGCCAAATTTCTTAATAGAACCATGATAATTCTTTACCAACACTAGCGCTTAACATTTGGGTGATGGGATTTCCACAGACAGGTATCACCAGTCCTAAAAGAGAATCCTTATGACCTGATGCTTACAACAAAGGCTTTATCAAACATAACAGATGAGTATCCTTTAAAGTGAAATGATCAATTCCTACAATATGAGAACTAAAAGTCCTGGTTAAAAGAAATAATATAAGTGTAAATTCTATAAACTGCCAAATAAAGCAAAAGATCTGATAAGATGATTATTTTTTGCCATCTAATCCTGAGACCCTGTTTTACAGATAAAATAGAAAAACCGGGGAACCAGAGAACTCCAATGACTCACTCCTAGTCACTGAACCAGTTAGCAGGGGAGGGACCTGGAATCGGCGACCCTGACTCGGGCCTTTTGAAGTCCAGGTGACTGGGAGAAATAGTCCTCGTCTTGTCATGTTCCTCCCCAAGTTTGCATCTTAGCGCTGAATTGTGACTATGAAGTATTTAGACTAATTCCCCCATGAAAAAGTCTCATTCCTTTAACGATCTCAATTTTTTTTACATTTTATCGATTATTAAAGCACTTTCAGAGGCATTCATAAACTGACAGAACAAGCTCCTAAAGGAGCCCTTTTATAGAATAAAAATGAGACATTAATGATAACAACAATATACGCAGATTCCTGGCCCTAATGCTCTCCTCATTAGCACAAACTTACATGAGTTAAACCTTGTCTTCTAATTCTCTAGGATTTGGTGAAAAACAAATGATGCCAAACTGGTAAAAGTGCTTTGAAATTGGGGTAAATGCTTTAAAAACAAATTCTTGTTTTACTTCGACAAAGTAAAACCCCAGATTTTACATACTGCTTTGGTTTCCTGAAAGATGAAGGGAACTAGCCAATCTTTTTTGGAGAATGAATGAAAATAGAAGAAAATCACAAATTCTCTCCATAAATGTGTATTGAGTGGCAGTGATGCATGATGGAGAGTGCATTACAGCTTCCTCCTGAGAGTGTGGCATTTGATTTGGACTGGAATTAAAATCTTATCATAATCATCGCTGTGAACTATCATAATCACATTCACATACAGATATAGTAATGGGTTGCCAATTCTCAGGAAGGGCCAAACACTCTTAAATCATTGAGATTTTCCATGACATGAACATTCCTAAGCCCCCCACCCCCTCCCTCCTTGTCAATCCAGGGACGTCTCTGTCTTGCGCACTTCTGCATGCCCAGCACTTAGGGTAATGCCAGGTGCAGAGTAGGCATTCAATACATGTTTGCTGAATTTGAACTAAAAACTGGAGACATCAGAGAAGGAACTGAGCCAAAGGTGATGGGGATGCTTTAGTGAGTGCTTTGTGCAGGAGATCTGCAGCGTATATAAACAGCATGCTACCTCACCACCGACTGCCGGGGGCAGACACTCTGTTGGGCTTCAGTTTTCAGATGGGAGAACATCGACTCCATTCCCCAATACTTATCCAGAGACTAGGCAGCATCCCAACACCGTCCCCTATATTCCAAGTTGGTGGATGAAAAAACGCATGAGATCTTAACCACTGATAGAAATGTCAGAAAAGCAGACGATAGGTATCAACAGTGATTCTTCTGAGTTCACACAAAACAAACATGCACAAAACCTTTATTTTTCACTCTTCACTCTTTGCACTATTCGCCCTTTATTCTTTAAGCACTGACCAAGAGAGACAAGACAGGGCTCACTTAGATTAGCTGTCTTTACACGTTAGACTTATTGATTGTGACAATATTTTTGGAAATCAGGGGTAGAACCACTTCATTCCATGTTCCTATGTCAAACAACATGCCCAGCTTAAAAAAAAATCAAAGCAGCAGAAAACATACACAATCCCACCAGTTTTCCAATGTCCCATGCGTTTGAATGTATTTTTTTTTAAATCCTAACACATGATGGGTGATAGAAGCTTCTTTTTACTGTCAGAGAGATCAAAGAGAGGTTGAGAAAGAATCTATAAGCAGATGCTGCCCAGTGACAATCCTGAAAGAAGCCGACAGTGGGGCCAGATGTTGGGGTGACCTTTGGTCCGCAGAGCACACTGGCATGGTGTTGATTTAGATGGTTGTTGGCAGAAGCTGTAGATCCAGCAGCAGGGGGAAAACGCTAAACTGGGGGATCCTTTCCTACTCTTTCCCATCGCTGCAAAACCTGAGACCACTGGTCAGCAGCGCTGACGGCTGTCAAAGAAGTTGAAGTCACCACACAAGCCTGCCAGTAGATATCACATCAAAACGGAGTCAGCTGCGTGAGCGAGAACCTCTTCGGGCTGTGCCATTTTGCATCCCACTAAACTTTCAACAGCTGTTTCTTGAGTGAATACAGACACAAAATAATTATATAAAAAGAACAGCATATTCAATATGCGGGACGATGTTTACATTCCTTACACAGTCATCAATAGAGGATATAACTGAGAAAGACTCTGACAGGTCTGAAAAGTTAATGCCCTGTCAACAAGTCTAATTAGTGCCCCGTGAAAGTTCTAAGTTGAACCCTGAATCCGCAACACTGAAGGAAAAGGACATATTTTTTAATCAAGCAGAATTACTCAAATCGGTACTGCAGACACAAAACGAATACGTAATGACATGTCACGGTTTGAAAGACTCCTATCACATTATGCAATATCGCCATCATTCATTCATTCAATAGGAATTTTAAAACTTTTTTTCTAGTGACCCAAATGTTCTTATTATTGTAAACACTCATAAATAAGGTAGGAGAGCTCTAATCTTCCATTCTGACAGAATTTTAAATCTTTGCCACCATACAGTGCTGAAACGCGGACCGTAAACAGCGGCTTGCTTTATTTTATTAGATACGATTGAAGACCGCACGGTTCTTCTGACGCTTTTAGACATTTTGTCACTTTACCTGGAGAAATATCCACGGCTTATTCTGCATTGCTGCTGATGTCCAGCTCTTGTCAAAACCTCTCTCTGTCAAGGCCGTCACCAAGAGTTGCAAAATGACAGATCAGGCTGTCTGAGTCGATGGAGCCCCAGGAAAAATGGAACAGATAGAAAATTCATGCCTCTAAACTACATCAAAGTGACTTCTGTCAACATCATGTCAAAAGAACTGTTCATTTTAAGAGGTTTTTTTAAAATTATATAAATACCTTTTTGAATATGAGCTAAGTGTAATAAAATATTTTTTGGTGTACAGTATGATCATCCAAATGTTCCAAACATATACTTTAGATCATGCAGGAATAAGGAAAATTCTAATAGTAGACACTGTATTCCAGCTAAAACCAATGACATTCAAGAGAGATGTATGGAGATACTATCGGCTTAAAATAAGACAAACCATCTGGCTATAGAGGAACAAAAGTATATTTTTTGCAAATTTTCTGGACCCACCAAATTTCTGCAACTAGATTAAATTTTATTCTCCTACAACCAGTTTTGATCCTTATTTATTTATTTTGCTTAGTGTGACAATTATAAAACACTTAATTCAGTATTATTTTCCTAATCAAGTTTCCTAAGATATCTGGTATTACTTTAATAAAAAAAATCATTGGAAAAGCCTCAAATACATACTTTCCTTAAATTTTTGCTTTCAGAGAAAAGTAAAAAATAAAGTACTGCATACGCAGAAGCACTCCATAATCACATTCAGAGAGCCATTCACCGGGTGAAATATGAGTTGCATGAATCTGGAAATGACCCCTCTCCCATTTTAATTCCCAACACCTTTCAGGGAGGATGGCTGGCACCTGGTGCTAGAACCCAGGCAACTTGATTCCCACTGCTCATATGTCACTGAAATAAACAGGGTAAGTGACCTTGTGAAGTAAAGGTCACAGACCGGGCAA